AAAACTATATTAAGTATCTTTTCAGACCTCAATGGGATAAAACTAGAAATCAATAACAAGGGAAACTTTGGGAACGGCATAAACTCACGGAAATTAAACAACATACTCCTGAATGACCAATGGGTTAATAAAGAAATTAAAAAGCAAATTTTTAAAAATTTATTGAAACTAATGAAAATAGAAACACAACATGCTGGCCAGGTGTTGTGGCTCACACCTGTGATCTCAGCTCTTTGGGAGGCCGAAGCCGGTGGATCACCTGACGTCAGGAGTTCAAGACCAGCCTGGCCAACATGCTGAAACCTCGTCTCTACTAAAAATAAAAATTTAGCCGGGCGTGGAGGCAGGCACCTGTAACCCCAGTAACTCAGGAGGCTGAGGCAGGAGAATTGCTTGAATCTGGGAGGTGGAGATTGCAGTGAGCCAGGATCATGCCACTGCCCTCCAGCCTGGGCGACAGAGTAAGACTGTCTGAAAAAAAGAAAAGAAAAGAAAAGAAACATAACATACCAAAACCTATAGGATACAGCAAAAGCAGTGTAAGAGGGAAGTTTATAGCAATAAACACCTATGCCAAAAAGTAGTAAATTTTGAAATTAACAACCTACTGATGCAACTCAAGGAACTAAAGAAGCAAGAACAAACCAAATCCAATATAACTAGAAGGGAATACATAATAAAAATCAGGGCAGAAATAAATTAAAAACTAAAAACAATACAAAAGATCAATGAAACAAAAAGCTGACTTTTTAAAAAGATAAAATTGAAAAACTATTAGCTAGACTACCTAACAAACAAAGATCTGAATAAATCAAATTAAAAATGAAAGAGGAGACATTAAAACTGATACCACAGAAATACAAGAATCAGGCTGGGTACGGTGGCTCACACCTGTAATCCCAGCACTTTGGGAGGCTGAGGCGGGTGGATCAACTGAGGTTGAGAATTCGAGGGCAGCCTGACCAACATGGAGAAACTCCATCTCCACTAAAAATAGAAAATTAGCTGGGCACAGTGGTGGGTGCCTGTAATCCCAGCTACTTGGGAGGTTGAGGCAGGAGAATCACTTGAACCCGGGAGGCAGAGGTTGTGGAGAACCGTGATTGTGCCATTGCACTCCAACCTGGGCAACAAGAGGGAAACTCCGTCTCAAAAAAAAAAAAAAAAACAAGGACCATTAAAAACTATTATAAACAACTCTATGCCAACAAATTGGAAAACCTAGAGGAAATGGGTAAACTCCTGGACACATGCAACCTATCAAGATTGAACCAGGAAGAAGGAGAAAACCTCAATAGACCAATAACAAGGAACACAACTGCATCAGTAACAAAAAGTCTCTCAACAAAGAGGAACCAAGAACTGGATGGCTTCATCGCCAAATCTACCAAACTTTTACAGAATTGATGTGGATTCTTCTCATACTATTCCAAAAACATGAAAAGGAGGGAATTCTTCCAAATTCATTCTACAAGGCCAATATTACCCTAATAAAAAACCCAGACAAGGACAGAACAAAAAAAAAAAAAAAAGAAAACTACAGGCTAATATTCCTGATGAACATAGATGCAAAAATCTTCAACAAAACAGTAGTAAACCAAATCCAACAGCACACCAAAAAGATTAATACACCATGATCAAGTGAGATTTATCCCAGCAATCCAAGGATGATTCAATATACACAAATCAATAAACATGACACATCACACAAAGAGAATGAAAAGCAAAAATACATGATCATTTCAATAGGCACAGAAAAAGCATTTGATAAAATTCAACATCCCTTCATGATAAAAACTCTCAACAAATTAGGCATAGAATAAATTTACCTCAGCACTATAAAGTCTACATATGACAAACCTACAGCTAACATTATGAGGAAAAGTTGAAAGCTTTTCCTCTAATAGTTGGAATGATATAAAGGTGTCTACTTTCCCCACTACAATTTGACACTGTACTAGAAGTCCTAGCCAGAGCAACTAGGCAAAATTAAAAACAAAGGGCATTCAAATTGGAAAAAAAGGAAGTCAAATTGTCTTTTTGAAGACAATGTGATCTTATCTGTGGAAAAACCTAAAGACTCTGCCAAAAACTCTTAGAACTGACAGACAAATTCAGTAAAATTTCAGGATACGAAATCAACATACAAAAATTATTAGCATTTCTATACACCAATAACAAACTCGCTGAAAAAGAAACCAAGAAAGCAATTACATTTTCAATAGCTATAAAAAATATTATGTAGGAATAAAACTAACCAAGAAGGTGAAAGATCTCCACAATAAAAACTATGAAGTACCAGTGAAAGAAATGGAAGAAGACACAAAAAAATGGAAAGAAATATCATGTTCATGGATTGAAAAGATTAATATAGTTAAAAATGACCATACCCAAATTGATCCACAGATTCAAAGCAATCCCTATCAAAACACCACTGACGTTCTTCACAGAAATAGAAAAAATAATCCTAAAATGTGTGTGGAACCACAAAAGACCCAAACAAACAAAGTAATCCTGACTAAAAAGGACAAAGCTGGTGGCATCACATTATCTGACTTCAAAATACACTGTAAATATACTGTAACTAAAGCAGCATGGTACTGGCATAAAAATAGGTACATGGATCAATGAAACAGAATAGAGAACCCAGAAATAAATCCACATATTTACAGCCAACCGATTTTTAACAAAGGCACCAAAAACAAACATTGGGGAAAGAACAGTCTCTTCAATAAATGGTGCTGGATAAACTGGATATCTGGATGTGCAGAAAAATGAAACAAGACCCTTATCTCTCACCGTATACAAAATTCAACTCAAAATGGACTAAAGATTTAAATATAAGACTCTGAACTATAAAACTATTAGAAGAAACTAAAAGGAGAAATACTTCAGGACATTGGTCTGGGGAAAGATTTTAAGGATATAATCTCCAAAGCATAGACAACAAAAGCAAAAATAGACAAGTGGGATTATATCAAACTAAATACACAAACACACACACACACACACACACACACACAAATAATCTGATTTAAAAATGAGAAAATGATCCTGAATGGATATTTCTCAAAAGAAAGCATTCAAATGACCAAGAAGTATATGAAAAAATGCTCAACATTACTAACCATCAAATGCAAATCAAAAACCACAGTATGATATAATATCATTCCAGTTAGAATGGCTATTAACAAAAAGACCAAAAAAAAAATCAAATGCTGGCAAAGATGCAGAGAAAAGACAACTCTTATACACTGTTGGACTTATAAATTACTATAGTCATTATTGAAAAAAGTATGGAGGTCCCCCTAAAACCTATAACTAGAACTACAACATGATCCAGCAATCTCACTATGGGGTATAAATTTTTAAAAAAGGAAATCAGTATGTTGAACAGATATCTGTACTCCCATGTTTATTGCAGCCCTATTCACAATAACCAAGATAAAAGTATCCATTAACAGATGAATGGATAAAGAAAATGTGTTATATATACCCAATGGAATACTATTTGACCATAAAAAGAATGAGATCTTGTCATTTGCAACAAAACTGATGAGCTTGGAGGACTTTATGTTAAGTGAAATAAGCCAGGCACTGAAAGGTAAATACATGTTCTTACTCATCTTCTCCACATGTTCTTACTCATTTTCAGAAGCTAAAAAAGTTGATCTCATAGAAGTAGAAAGTAGAATAGCGATTATTAAGGCTCGGGGGTGGGGGGGTGGGATAGGGAGAGATTGTTTAAAGGATACAAAATTATCAGTAGACAGGGAAAATAAGTTATTGTGTTCCATAGCACTGTAAGGTGACTATAGTTAACAATAATTTATTGTATATTTTCAAATAGCTAGAAAAGGGGATTTTGAATGTTCCCAGGGCAAATAAATAATAGATGTTTGAGAAGATGGATATACTAGTTACCTTGACTTGATAATTATACATTGTATGTATCAAGACATCACTCTGTACCCCATAATTATGTACAATTTTTGTCAATTAAAATATTTTAAAAGATAATTTAGTTTAATATCTTGTTTCACAAATAAAGAAGCTAAGGCTAAAGGAGGTTACATGACTAGACAAATACCGCACAGAGAGTTGGTGTTAAAACTGGACTAAAATCCAGTTTTTGGGGTTTTGCTTTTGTTGTTGTTGTTGTTGTTTGTTGTTGTTGTTGTTGCTTAAGACAGAGTCCCATGCTCTCACCCAGGCTGGAGTACAGTGATGCAATCATAGCTTATTGCAACCTTGACCTCCTGAGCTCAAGCAATCCTCCACCTCAGCCTCCCGAGTAGCTGGGACTACAGGTGTATTTCACCACTTCTGGCTAATTAAAAAAAAAAAGAATTTGTAGAGACAGAGTCTCTTTTTGTTGCCTACGCTGGTCTTGAACTCCTGGGCTCAAACAATCCTCCTGCCTCTGCCTCCCAAAGTGCTGGGATTACAGACATGAGTCACTGTGCCTGGCCCTAAAGTCCAGCTTTTTGACAATTTTTTATTCTCTACTGAAAGCTAACAAGGTTTTGAAAGTGTGGCAATTAGATTAGAAAGTTTCAAATAAGGCCAGGTGCAGTGGCTCACACCTGTAATCCTACCATTTTGGGAGGCCAAGGTGGGCGGATCACTTGAGGTCAGGAGTTCGAGACCAGCCTAGCCAATATGGTGAAACCCCTGTCTCTACTAAAAATACAAAAATTAGCTGGGCATGGTGGTGCACACCTATAATCCCAGCTGCTAGGGAGGCTGAGGCAAGAGAATTGCTTGAACCCGGGAGGCAGAGGTTGCAGTGAGCTGAGATCGTGCTACTGCACTCCAGCCTGGGTGACAGAGCAAGACTCTGTCTCAAAAAAAAAAAAAGAAAAGAAAAGAGAAAGTTTCAAATAAAGCTGTTGTAGTGAATCCATGCCAACATTTTTAAAAAGGGAAAGAAAATTCCATATTTTGTGAATGATTTTAGCAAAAATCTTATCTACAAGGAAACGTAGTTATTTTCTCACCTTCAAAAATTTTGCTTGGAGTTGCAATAATGCATCTGTTCTTCTCCGTTCTTTTAATTTAGTCAAAAGCTTCCTTTGCCACGGATCACATTTTGGCTTGATCTAGTGGACAAACACGTTCACACAAAGTTACAACATAACAGAATGATTCTCAATAAAAGTTGCAGGCAAAGAGATTCAAGGACCTTCTGAAATGGTATCTGGCTTTGGTGCTAGGTTGGCTAGGACAAGTGAGCTTTTGGAAAGGGTCTTCATGGGTTCACAGATCCATTGAAGGAGACAGCAGCACCAGTTCCTGTTGGTGCCTGGCCTATAAGATGCAGTAGATCCATCTGGGATGACACCATAACATCCACAAGCAGCAGGAACCCTAAATCCATCAGAGTTTGTCATTGCACTTTATTTACAGGGCAAAAGAAGTTCACCCACAGACTCCTTGTGACTCCACATTTAAAACATCTTTCATACTAATAAACTGTATTTCAAAAGTAAGTTCTGTTGCTGTAAATACCATCAACACTCAAATTTATATCTCAGCCCTAAACTCCAGCCTATTATATCCAACTACTCCTTTGATATCTATTCTTGGATATCAAGCGTAACCATCTAAAACAGAAAGTCCAGCTTCCCTTACATGGACTACCTTGTTCCTCAAGCACTAAATGGACTTAGGAGCAATCTTTGATTTCTCTCAGTCTATCTTTATTTACTCCTATGGTCTGAATGTGTTCTTCTAAAATTTAAATGATGAAACCTAACACCCAAGGTGATGGCATTAGTAATAGAATTTGGGGATGTGATTAGATCATGATGGTAGAGCTCTCATGAACAGTATTCATGCCCTTACAAAAGAGGCCTGAGGGACCTTGGCTTTTTTCTTCCACCGTGTGAGGATATGGGGAGAAGTCAGAAGTCTATAGCTTGGAAGAGGACCTTCCAGAACTTGACCATGCTGGCCCCCTGATCTTGGACTTCCCAGTCTCCAGAACTGTGAGAAATATATTTCTGTTCTTTATAAGCTACCCAGTTAATGGTATTTTGTTAAAGCAGCCTGAATAGACTAAAACAATCATACAAGATTTATTTTATTTTATTTTATTTTTTGAGATGGAGTCTCACTCTGTCGCTAGGCTGGAGTGCAGTGGCACAATCTCGGCTCACCGCAACCTCCACCTCCCGGGTTCAAGTGATTCTCCTGCCTCAGCCTCCTGAGTAGCTGGGACTATAGGCACGCACCACCACACCCAGCTAGTTTTTGTATTTTTTTTTTTTTTTTTTTTTTTTTTTTTTAGTAGAGAGGGGGTTTTACCATGTTAGCCAGGATGGTCTCAATCTCTTGACCTCACGATCCGCCCACCTTGGCCTCCCAAAGTGCTGGGATTACAGGCATGAGCCACCGCACCTGGCCCAGATTTTTCTTTTCTTCATAATACAATCAATCCTTGTTGTTTGCGGATTCCACATTTGTGATTTTGCCTACTATCTAACATTTTTTGTGACCCAAAACTCAATACTAGTGGAGCTTTCATAGTCACTCATAGGCGTGTGCAGGGTAGTGAAAATTTGCGTCACCCTATGCGCATATTCTCAACTCAATTTGAACAAGGCAACACTCTGTCTTCTTGTTTCTGCTTGCATATTACTAACAAGGATCCTTTTCGTGGTCCGTTTAGTGCCACATTCTTCACATTTTTGTGCTTTTTGGTGGTCATTTTACTGTTGAAAATGGTCTCCACGGGTAGTGCCAAAGTAATGTCTAATGTTTCTAAGCATAAGAAGGCTGTGTGATGTGCCTTTCGGAAAAACTACATGTATTAGATAAGCTTCATTCAGGCATGAATTACAGTGCTGTTAGTCATTAGTTCAATGTTAATGAATCAACAATATATTTTAAATAAGATGTCATTAAACAGAAACACACGTAAAACAGTTATGTATTGATGAGTGTTCTGATGAGAGGTTCACAGGAACTAACTCTATTTCCCCTAGAGGTAACGATTCAATGTTTGCTAACTCAGTGTTCATGGTGACTTTCCAGAGCAAAACTACCTTGAATAACAGGAACTGACCATAGTTAGCACTACCTAAAATCATCTTATTTAGTTTGCTTACTTGCATATTGTTTGTGAATTGTGTATCTCCAGCATGAAGGGCCATACCTGATATACAATATGTACCAAATAAATAGTTTTTGACTCAACGATTGGATTTACACAAGTCAATCACACCCTTGGATAATAAGCTTAGCTCTTGCCAAGTATCTGAGATCATTAGTAATAAGCAGGGAGTTTGGGCCCATCAGAGTGGGGTACAGGCATCTGGAAAACCTTCAGGGAAGGCAGATCAGCAGAGCAAACTTCGACACAGAGCCAAGGCAGGCAAAGAGCTGGAAGAGTGTGGCACACAAGGCCAGGTTCTCTGAGTTGCCTCAACTGAGGACATGGAAGCGTCTCCCCTAGTCAAAGAGGACAGTTCGCTGAGGGCACTAAGGAGAGAGGACAACAGGGACAACATAAACCTGGTGCTGCCAGGTTGCCTAGCCTGCTTAGATGACACTGTGACACTGCTGACATCACTGAGAGATGACTATCACCACAAGTCTCCTTACCGTTATGAAGGAAATCCAGTTGGCTCTCTTTTTCAGGGTCATTCTGGGTCCTGCCAAACCCAAATTATCTGCTTTAGCTATTCCAGCTTCATAGTCTGGAAACGTTTGCAATCTCTGTTGCTCCATGAAGATGCTTTGAAATTTTTGGGAAACCTAAACAGGATGAAGTGAGAAGTGGAACCCAGAAAGAAAAAGTCTCAGAGAGTGGGCAATTTCAAAAACAGCTACTGATTGTCTTTGAAATAGCCTTGGAATCAAACTAATTTATAAAACACGACTCTGTGACAGTGACAAGACCTTAAATGGGCATACCTGTGTGGCGCATGTTCTCAGTCAGCTCATTACCATAATTGTGTGTATTACCTGTTCTGAATGTCTGCTCCAGCGACTGGAAATATATTAATGTATTTATTTATATATATTTTGAACTGGAACCTAAATATAAGTGAGAAGTAAATTGTCTACCTTTGGAAATGCATTCACTTTTTCCGACCACCCAGTAAACTATTATAGACTATCTAAGGATTAAAAAATCCTGCTCTCAGAGGCCTGACAAGGATGTGGCTAGAGAGGAGTCCAGATGCTAGAACCTGTTAAACTCTTTAAGGCATCTCAACCTATTCCTTTCATAGCTTACTTTCAGACTGAGGCTACAAGTGCTTTCTACAACATCAATTCCTACTGTCAAAATGCTAAACATTCCTTCTTCCCCCTCCAGGGTGAGCCCCTGTGGTGGCACCTTTATCATTATATTTGCCACGTTGTGTCAGGATTTCCTCACTACATGGTGAGCCCCATTCAGGGTATAGACTCTGAATGTCAAGAATTCACCACAAGGTGGTGGCCACACAACAACGTGAGTGTACTTAATGCCACTGAACTGAACACTTACAATGGCTAAAATGGTAAATTTCGTTATGTTATTTTACCACTCATGCGTGCACATGTACACACACAGTAAGAACCTACCACAGTGCTGACACATACTAGGGCCTCAACAAAGGTTTCTGGAATGAGTGAGCAAACTTGTGAGTCACAGAGCTGAAGATTCTTCTAGTAATAACGCTGCTACCTCTGAGTTTGGGCTATCCAGTGCTGTTGCCCCTAGCCACATGTGGCTGTTTAACATTATTAATTAATTAGAATTAAACAAAATTTGAAATCTTGTTCTTCAGTTGCGCTAACCACATTCCAAGTGCTCAGATAACTATTAGTGTATGTGGCTAGTGGTTAACGTGGGACAGTGCAAAGGCAGAACACATCCATCGCTTCTGTAAGTTCAGTGAGACAGTGCTGGTCTATGACTGGGTTGGCAAACTCCTTAAAGGGCCAGATCGTAAGTATTTTAGCCTTTACTGACCACAAGGTCTCTGTCACAGCTACTCAAGTCTGCTGTTGTAGTGTGAAAGCAGCCATAGAAAATACATACATGAATAGGCATGGCTGTTGTTAGGGTCTGAATGTTTGTGTCCCCACAAGATTCATGTGTTGAAATCCTAAACCCAAAGTGATGGTATCAGGAGATGGGAATTTGGGGAGGTGATTGGGTCATGAAGGTGAAGTCTTCACGAATAGGATTACTGCCCTTATAAAAGAAGCCTGAGAGACTCTTGTCTTCTACCATGTGCGGACACAGCAAGAAGGCACCACCTATGAGCCAGAAAGTGGGCCCTCGCCAGACATCAGACTACCTTGATCTTGAACTTTCCAGCCTCCAGAACTGTAAGAAATACATTTCTGTTGTTTAGAAGTCACTCCGTCTATGGTATTTTGTTAGAGCAGCCTGAATGAACCTAAGACTGCTGTATTCCAAAACAACTTTATTTTAAGAAAACAGGTGAGGGCTGTAGTTTGCTGACCCTGCTCTCAGGCATTAGAGTATCAGAATAAACAGCACCTAAACATAGGAACTCTTCCTAGGCAAAAAAGTTGATGTAATGCGACTGGTTATCTTGGAACACAATTAGTGTTTCACCTAATACTGTCGTAAGAAAATTAAAAGTGGAAATTATCACCATAAAAAGGAGACAAGCTGCTCTTTGGGAAAAGCATGGCTTTGTTGGAGTGCTCCGCCAGGCTTGTGTTCTCTCGTTTATCATTAATAATAGTCTCCTGGGCTATAATTAACCTTTATTTTTTTGGGTTCTTCTTAAACACCATCATATTCTGATTCTGTGTTTCGCCTGTCATAATCCTTGATGATAATAAGGGTGAGGACACTCCCACAGAAACACTCTGCTGGAGATAGTGCTGCTGGTGGCATGAAAAGAAAGGCAAGAGCTAAACATCATCACCTTCAAGGAAACAAGAGGACCTGTGATACCACTGGGTCCAGTGAGCTTAAAGAGGCTGTCTGTGTTACACACTAATAAAAATCATCCTGGGCCGGGAGCGGTGGCTCATCCCTGTAATCCCAGCTCTTTGGGAGGCCGAGGCGGGAGGATCACTTGAGGTCAGGAGTTCAAGACCAGCCTGGCCAATGTAGTAAAACCCTGTCTCTACTAAAAATACAAAAATTAGCTGGGCGTGGTGGCACACGCCTGTAATCCCAGATACTCAGGAGGCCGAGGCAGGAGAATTGCTTGAACCTGGAAGGTGGAGGTTGCAGTGAGCTGAGATTGTGCCACTGTACTCCAGCCTAGGTGACAGATTGAGACTCTGCCTAAAAACAAAACAAAACAAAACACCCCTTCCACACACACACACAAAATCCTGGTAAAATTATGCTGGAACAAATGGAAATGCAAGTGAAATTTCAAACTCAAGCAAATGGTGATAGCACAGACAGTAGCTTACTTCTTACATAAAGAGCATTCAAAACTATTCAGATCTTATTTTTACCTGTTTGGATCCATCAATTTCTTATTTTTACCTAGCAAATATGTATACTTGCAAATAATATACAGCTAGAGCTAGAAAAATCTTTATTGTTGAAATTTTTGTTATTATAAATCTGAAGCTTGGCCAGGTGTGGTGGCTCATGCCAGTAATCCCAGCACTTTCGGAGGCCAAGGCGGGCAGATCACCTGAGGCCAGTAGTTCAAGACCAGCCTGGCCAATATAGCAACCCCATCTTTACCAAAAATACAAAAATTAGCTGGGCATGGCTGAGGCAGGAGAATCTCTTGGACCCAGGAGGCAGAGATTGCATTCAGCTGAGATTGCACTACTGCACTCCAGCCTGGGTGACAGAACAAGACTCCATCTCAAGAAAATATTTTTTAAAATCTGAAGCTATCCACCTATAGTCCTATTCTTCTCTTTGAAACAAGTTTTGTTTTTTTGTTTGTTTGTTTGTTTGTTTGTTTGAGACAGGTTCTCACTATACTGCCCATCCTGGGCTCAAGTGATTCCTTGCTTCAACCTCCCAAAGTGCTGGGATTACAGACATGAACCACCATGTCCAGCCCCCTTTGAAACAAGTTTTAACATGGCTTTTGATAATATGAGTTGTCTTCATTTCAGGAAGTACAACACTGTGTTATAGCAGAGAAGACTGCATGACTTTAAACATCACTACACAAGGTACCCACTATTAAATATAAAGCATTTTGTCAATAAGGAAAGCTATTGCAATACATTTTGAGAATTGGAGGGCTTTTTTGCCCTCCAATTGACAACTCTGCCAAGCAAATTTGCCAAATATTTACATCATCTACTATAGACCATACACTACTTTTGCTTTAAGTTCTGCAGAAAAACAAGTCCTGAAATCCTTCTGGGTTCACTATTTGAGTCCCATTACTCTTACAGAGGAAACTTTTCCTAACTGCTAATCAAAATTTCACCTATTACTACTTTATATGATCACTCTCGAAACAATTGTTGGTAGTAAAAGGTGCAACTCTGTGGAAATTAGCAGTGCTTTCTTTCATGAACACCTATATTTGTATTAAGAAAGAGCATATCAAATACCAAGGAAAAAAGTTCCATTTCCTTAGCAGAGTCCCATAGCTCTTCCACGTCATATGGGATATCGAAATGGGAGAGCAGGAGCTTCAGCTGAGGTTTCAGTTCTCCTGTTTCTGTTGTGTGTTGGGGGAGGACAAAAGCAGCTTCTGTTCTCATTGGCCCTGAGGAAAACCAAAATCAAGAGCATTAAGACCAATGAATACTGTCAGGGAGAGAAAATGGAGAGTCCTTTGAGACAGCTAGAAGTAGGAGCTCCTCTACTGACGGGATGCCCATTCTGCTCCTTTGCCAACATTTTCTGCCGCAATTTACAGTCTGCACCCTACTTGGCCAGGTGGATCTGACAAATTCTTGGAGCTGGGCTTTTGCAGGAGGCAGCAAGGACTCCTTGCCATCTCACAGCCTACAGGAGAAACCCAACAGACCTTTTGGGGAATGACTTGGAGCAGAATTGTCTACTTTGTGGTAAATGAAGAACATTATTTATAAATTTATCCAACAAATTAGAAGAAGGTGAGAGCCTTCAGCTGCTTTCACATAGCTAGCTCCCCCTCATCTCTAAGGACCCAGTTTGAATTCCCCTCCTTCAAGAAGCCTTCTCAGATGTCCCACAGCTGGGTTTGGCTACCTCTCCCAGGCACTCCCGGGACACTCTGTGCATCCAAGCAAGAATGTCACTCAGAGTAGAAATCTTATCAGGTTTCTTAGTCATCTATAACACAAGGTAAGGGCAGGAAAACTGCATTAATTTTATTCAGATGAAGAAATTATTTTAGATTTGTGTAATATGAAAACTGGAAGGAGCCTTAGAGATCACTGATTCTGAAAGGTGTATTATGGAGATGACCAAATTGAGGGCCAAGGAGATGAAATTCAGGCCCACAGTGAGGCCAGGACAGGAACCAGCCTAGAGCCCAGTACTGCTGACTTTAAGTCCTTTTTTTTCTCTCACTCTTAACTTGCTAATTATAAAGACAGAGATTAAAACATGTCTTAAAAAGTGTTTGTTATTTTTTCCCATCTGAAAATATTAAATTAAGACTTGTCTATTAAGAAGATAAAACCTTTTGGTATATAGAACAATTTTTAGCAAGATCATGGGACAACCAGCATAAGTCTAAAATTACAATCTTCTTTGCTCCACATTACCCGAGGGGAAAGAAGACGAATTTCTTACCAGAAATGCTGGTATCCACAGGGTCAGGAGACGCAGAACCCTGAACATCAGGGTCAATGTCATTGACACAGACCTTTTCATTTTTCTGACCAACTTCAGCGACTTGGTTGACAGCTACACTTAGCACTTTGGAGATGGGCAAATACTGAAGGGCCTACAGAAGGGCAAGACCAAGAGGCCAAACATCAACACAATTCTCACAGAAGCTTCCAGACTCAGGTTCAGGAGCAGCCCTTTGCTTTGGGAGGGAAGAATAGAAGTAGAGGTGGAGCCTCAGTAACCTGCCCAATGATGAGGGGCTACATTTGGAGCTCAGAGACCTAGTACTGTTACTGACTCTGAGTGGCCTTAACCTCCAAACAGGTCTACTTTGATCAAGGATCCAAAATGGACAAGGCACTTGTGAGGTGCTAGGGATACAAAGAGGAATAAGACAGGATACAACCTCAAAGAGCTCACGGTTTACTAGAAGACCCAGACTTACAAGCAGATTGTTATAACACCATGTGACTGGTGAGAAATGTATCAGAGGCAGAGCCCATAGTGGCTGGCTGGGTGTGGGGAAAGGATGAAGCCAGGTTTCTGATTTGGGCAATTCCGTGGATGATGGTGTCTCTGAGCTAAGGCAAAGAGAAGTAGGGAAAGATGTGTGTAGAAAAATAATAATCTTTCCAAAATGGAAATGTGATCATGTTACTCCTTTCTGACGCCTCTAGCCTGACTTAGGGTCTCTCTGTGACTCTCTTTACCCTATGCTTATACTTATCCCGTGCTTTGTTACCCCATTGTATTTCAGTTGAATATTTACTTACCCATCTTCCTACTAGCCGAGGACCCAGTTACTTTTCAGCAAAGGCCGTATCCTTGCTGCATGCCTAGGACAAGTACCTGGCACATATTAGACCCTCATTAAACATTACCTAATATTTAAAAAGTGGATCTAAATCAGAGAGCATAAATTCTGAACAAGATGATGAAGACAAGAACTTACAGAGTGAATATGAAATAGTACAACAGAGACATCTTTGAGAAAGCTAAATTAATTATTTCAGTAGAATAAAGTTACAAAAGAGAAAAATGTCTAAGGTTTCAAAGAGAAATCCAGTGACCCATTATGTTTCTGTCATTTGTAGGGTAGGTGGAGTCCTGAAACAGTGACAATCTAAAACTAAGTGACAGATGTGAGAAAACAATGTACTGATCACCCCTGGAAGGGTGCCACATCATCACGTCACTGTGCTTCACATACCTGCAGGTACTGGTGAACAGTCCTGAGAGACTGCAGGTGGCACACTAACCACTTTGTATAAACAGTCAGATCTTCCTGTGTCACTAAGTTAGGAGGATTGCTTTTTCCCATGAGGAAGTTTTCTCGTGCAACAGACAATCTTTCAGCTCTCTGAAGGGCATCATTGTACTCCTGCATAATGTAGCCAACTTGTTTCTGTTTAAGAGAGATACAGAGATAGAACTCAGTTATTTGCAAGCCTTATGCTCTGTATCATTTGCTTCCAAGCATAGGGTAATGTTGTTTTGGGTCTAAATAAAGGGGTTCTTTGAATCCCAAAGTTCTTCCATATTCTGAATTTGACTTAAAAGGGCAGTGGTCATATTCTTAGGACTTCGAAGGAGACAGACTCCAAGCAAAGAGTCAGTGCATAGGGATACTTATAACTGGAGTCAGCTTCTGAACTTTTTACCTAAAGCTGAGGAAGCTAAGTCTGTGAAGAAAAATACATTTCCTCTCATACAAAACTTCCTTCAAATCTTATTCTTAAGAATAGTTTATCTTTACCATTACCTTCTGCCATTGGTAGAACAGGCGAGAAGGCACATCCATTAATTTCTTTTCTATCTTTAGCTGTGACTTTTAAAAAACTGACAAGCTTATTGGCCATTTTGTTTCAACATAAAAAATAGCCCATAGGTTCTGTTCATAGACTTCCTACCTTGTAAAGAGGATAAAGTTGCTCCATGATCTTACTGTGTTGGCAAAACCTCTTCCACCTAAGCATGTGTAAATATTTACTCTGGGCCAGCTGGGTAATTCTTTCTGTGTAATACTTTAACAAGAAAAACAAGCACTTAGAGAAGGAAGATTGAATAAGTCTTAATAACACTAACAAGAGGAAAATCGGTCTCTGGTTGTTTTGGAAAGATTATTTTTCTATATGAAGACCATAACATTAAGAAGTTTGGCTCAGCTGGGCGTGGTAGCTCACGCCTGTAACCCCAGCACTTTGGGAGGCCAAAGTGGGTGGATCCCCTGAGGTCAGGAGTTTGAAAGCAGCCTGTTCAACATAGCGAAACCCCGTCTCTACTAAAAACACAAAAAATTAGCTGGGCATGGTGGCAGGTGCCTGTAATCTCAGCTACTCGGGAGGCTGAGGCTGGAGAATCACTTGAACCTGGGAGGCAGAGGTTGCCGTGAGCCGAGATCACGCCATTGCACTCCAGCCTGGGCGACAGAGGGGGACTTTATCTTAAAAAAAAAAAAAAAAAGAAGTCTGGCTCAAGATAGTATTCAAATTGAAATAAAGTTAGTAGACATTTCTAAGTCTTTATGATCTGTTGCCAAGTCAATAGATGTAAGCTAATTTCTCAGTTACCAAACAATTTTAGCAGTGACATAAAAGTCTGTCAAGTTATCTAAAGCTGAGCCTAAAATTTTTTATTAAAAACTGAAATTATGAGTCAAAAATACAGAGTACATTACAGGTAGGATTATAGCTTTTAATCTCAGATCAGGAATTTTATTTATACCTAAAAATGTTTAATTGTTTAAAGATTTTCTTTCTGATAATAAAAATAATACTGACTATGATGGAATAACCAGAACCAGACTTACCCTTTTATCATAAACAGCTAGAAAATAGGACACAAAATATAAGGCAACTGTTTTCTGACATTGGACAACAGGCAGTGCAGGACTCTGGTCCCTGAGAGAAGGACACAAATCATGTAGGCCCTGCAATCACCTTGGTTTCCTACCTGAAGGCAGTTTCTGAGCCATGGAGCAAGAAAGGGAATCCTAAGCAGAGTAGATGATATTTCTGAGTTAAAGAAAGAGAAACTGAAATTTGGAAAATTGAGTCAGCCGAAGTTTTCAGGAGACAAGGAAGCCATGCAAAGAAAGGATTCTAGAAATCTGCATCAAGATCCCTTTCAGTCTGTTGCTGAATACTAAGCCAAGCATGTAGAAGGTGAAACTCCAGTTAGTTGTCCAAAGAATAACTGACTAGGGAATGGTAAACTGAACAGTTCCGAGTTCATATGAGGCTGAGAGATGTTCAAGTCCAACCAGCTAGAGTGAGGGCTTTTCACTGAATATCTGGGACATTCAGTAAAGACATCAAAAGCTTTAGTGAAAGGATAAACTATGCCTAGAGTAATGATTCTAAACCTGCTCCAACAATCCCTAAGCCTTGAAAGGATTAAGCTGATCTGTAAGTAACTTAACTGCCTACCAGAATAAAGTCCAACAAGCTCTAAATAATACAAAAAATCTGGTACTTAATAATGAAAAATTTACAATTTTCAGCATTCAAAAAAAAATTACTAGACATGCAAAGAAAGAGGAAAGCATGATTCAAAAGTAAAAGAAAAATTAGGGATGAGAAACAGGCCCAGAAATGACAGAGATGATGAAAGTTACCAACAAGAACTTTTAAAGAACTATTGTAAATATGCTCAGCATGCTCAAGGATTGAAAGGAAAATGTGAACACAGGCTGCTCATGGTGGCTTATGCCTGTAATCCCAGCACTTTGGGAGGCTGAGGTGGGCAGATCACTTGAGGCCAGGAATTTGAGACGAGCCTAGCCAACATAGTGAAACCCTGTCTCTACTAAAAATACAAAAACTAGCCAGGTGTGGTGGTGTGTGCCTGTAATCCCAGCTTGGGAGGCTGAGGCACAAGAATCACTTGAACCCAAGAGGCAGAGGTTGCAGTGAGCTGAAATAAAGCCACTGCACTCCAGCCTGGGCAATAGAGTGAGACTCTGTCTCAAAAAAAAATTACAAAAAGAGGCCGGGCACGGTGGCTCAAGCCTGTAATCCCAGCACTTTGGGAGGCCGAGACGGGCGGATCACGAGGTCATCGAGACCATTCTGGCTAACACCAGTGAAACCCCGTCTCCTACTAAAAAATACAAAAACTTAGCCGGCGAGGCAGGTGCGGGCGCCCTGTAGTCCCAGCTACTAGGGAGGCTGAGCAGGAGAATGGCGTAAACCCGGGAGGCGGTAGCTTGCAGTGAGCTGAGATCCCGGCCACTGCACTCCCAGAGCCTGGGTGACAGAGCGAGACTCAGTTTCAACGGAAAAAAAAAAAAAAAAAAAAAAAAAAAATTACAAAAAGAACAAGAAAAGAAAATGTGAACATACGAGGAAAGAAATGGAAAATATCAAAACAAATCAGATGGGAACTTCTAGAAATGAAAAATACAATATCTGAATAAAAAACTGACTGGATGTGATTAAAAGTAGATTAGACAGTGCATAAGAAAAAGCTGATAAATCTGAAGACATAGCAACAGGAACTATGCAAAATGAAGCACTGAGGGGGAAAAAGACTGAAGAAAATTAGTAGTCTTAATGACCTATGAAACAATAGGAAGTATTTAACAAATGTGTAATTGGATTCCCAGAAGGAGAAGTGCAGGCAGAAAATATATTTGAAAAAATAATGGTTGAAGTTTTTCAAAAACTGATGAAAACAATAAACACACAATCCAAGAAGCTCAACCAACCCCAAGCAAGAGAAACACAAAGAAAACTTCAACACACATCATAATACAATATCTAAAAACCATTAAGAAAACATCTTAAAAGTAGCCAGAGAATAAAACGATACACTATGATCAGAAATGAAAACTATGTATATCCATAAAAAAGAATGAAATCATGTCCTTTGCAGCAACATGGATGCAATTAGAGGCCATTAGCCTAAGTGAATTAATGCAAAAATAGAAACCCAAATATCGCATGTTCTCACTTATAAGTGGGAGCTAACTTTTGGGTACACGTGAACATAAAGATGGGAACAATAGAAACTGGGAACTACTAGAGAGGGGAGGGAGTGAAGGGGAGTAGGGGTTGAAAAACTACCTATTGTATACTATGCTCACTATCTGGGTGACGGGATCAATTGTACCTCAATCCTCAGCATTACACAATATGCCCAGGTACTTTCATTATTAAGTACCAGATTTTTTGTATTATTTAGAGCTTGTTGGACTTTATTCTGGTAGGCAGTTAAGTTAACAAACCTGCATATATAACCCCTGAATCTAAAATAAAAGTTGAAATTATTTAAAAAAGAATAAAATATCAAAAAAAGAAAGTTACTTGGGATTTTGTTGATAATTTAGGTTTTAATGTGTCTGTGAAATGCAAAGACTTTTGCTGGTCAATGCCAGTGACCAAGATGAACCATGGAAACATTACGTATTAGTCAGCTCTCACAATGCTAATAAAGATATACACAAGACTGCATAATTTATAAAGAAAAAGAGGTTTAATGGACTCACAGTTCTACATGACTGGGGAGGCCTCACAATCAAGACAGAAGGCAAAACATGGTGGCAGGCAAGAGGACATGTGCAGGGGAATGCCCCTTTATAAAGCCATCAGATCTCATGAGACTTATTCATTATCATGAGAACAGCATGGGAAAGACCCATCCCCATGATTCCATTACCTCCCACTGAGTCCCTCTCATGACACGTGGGAATTACAGGAGCTATAATTCAAGATGAGATTTGGGTGGGGACACAGCGAAACCACATCACATTAGTTCAAGTAAGCAAATGGTTAGAGGTTGACAGAAAAAAAAAATCACTTAAATTAGTGAAGTGCTCTTTCCTGTTATGATATATATTTGAGTTTCCTTTTAGCTTATGAATAAACATGTGTACTTACATATAGTAGTGATAAAAATTCAAACTATTCCACAGTTCTATTTTAAAATGGCATGTTTTATATTTTTTTGTATAATTAATCTTAATTGCAAAAATGTGTATACTTAATCTCAGTGAAAATAAAGCTGTCACCTAAGAAAGAGAAGGAAAGAAAGAAAGAAAGAAAGAAAGAAAGAAAGAAAGAAAGAAAGAAAGAAAGAAAGAGAGAGAAAAGGAAACTATGTAAGACAAAAGACAAAAGACAATGGAGCAGTATCTTTAAAGCAATAAAAAACCACCAACCCAGAATTCTATGTTGAACAAAAATATCTTTCCAAAATGAAGGGGAAATACTTCTTTCAAAACAACAAAGGCTGTGAGAATTTGTCCCTTGCAAACCTGAACTACTAGAAATGCTAAAGAAAATTCTTCGGAGAAAAGGCAAATGATATCCTATGGAAGTTTAGATAATACTAGAGTTTCTCAACCTCAGCAACTATTGACATTGGGGACTAGATGATTCTTCATTGTGAGAGACTGCCCTGTGAATTGTAGAATGTTTAGCAGCATCCCCGGCCTCTACTCACTTAATGCTAGCAGCAACCAATCACACCCCTCACCCAAATTGTGACAACAAGAAATATCCCCAGACATTTCCAAATGTCCCTTGGGGCACAAAATATCTTCTATCTCTACCCCTCCTCTCTCTCCATTGAGAAACACTGATATCCACAAAAGAATGAAGAATGCCAGAAATGATAGGGAAAGAGAATCCTGAATGAAAACAATGACGACAGTTTGACTTGCAAATAGTATCTCAATATCTTTTGTTTCTTTGTGATTAATTTAATAGTTAATTCCTAACTAAAGAATTAACTATTGCTAAAGAACTAATTTGTATGCATAGGTAAGATATAACTCGTAACACAGGAATAGAGAACAAGGAATTTTAAAATCTAAATAATATATACTTATTATAGAAAATTTAGCAAACATATAAAAGTAGAAGGGAGAACTTCATTATCCTGTCATCTAAACATAACATTCATTAACATTTGGTCTAAGTCCTTCAAGTGATTTTTTTCTATACATACTTGACCATTATTATGACATACATACACACACACACATTAGTTTTTGTTAACATTTCATATATAATAATTCCTTATGCTTATGTTAAAAGAAAAACTTTAGACAAATTAAATTTAACTGAGTTTAATTAAGTAAAGAACAATTCATGAATTGGGCAGCCCTCCTAGCCCCCCAACCAGAGTAAGTTCAGAGAGACTCCAGTGTTGCTGCACAGCGAAAGAGGATTTATGGACAAAAAGGAAAGTGAAGTAACAGAAAACAGAAGTGAGGTACAGAAACAGTCAGATTGGTTACAGCTCAGTGTTTGCCTTATTTGAACACACTTTGAACAGTTGGCTGCCTGCAAGTGGCTAAAGTATGACTTCTGTGATTGGCTGAGACTCAGTTACTTGTTACAAGAGTAGGTTATGGTCTATTTACAGCCCAGTTAGGTTACAGGTCACTATGTAGGGAGAAACCTTACCAAGGTTTCTGAACTTACAAGAAGGCAGCTTTAAGCTAAACTTAATTTAACAATAAAAAATGTTTAATGGCAGAACAATATTCTACCATGTACCATACTGTTTTTCTTAACTCTTTATCTTATTGGTGGATATTTAGGCAATTCTAATGTTTTACTTTTATTATAATGCTGTAATAATAATCTTTATGGAAAACTATTTTTCCCATGTCTTGAGTTATTTTCTTAACAGAAATTTCCAGGACTGGGCGCAGTGGCTCACACCTGTAATCCCAGAATTTTGGGAGGCCAAGGTGGATCACTGAGGCTAGGGGTTCAAGACCAGCCTGAACAACATGGTGAAATAAAATTAAATAAAATAAAATTTCTCAGAAATGTCTTCTTTTATTTATTTTTTTTTGGGGGGGAGGGAGGGAGTCTCGCTCTGTCACCCAGACTGGAGTGCAGTGGAGTGCAGTGGCACGATCTCGGCTCATTGCAAGCTCTGCCTCCCAGGTTGACGCCATTCTCCTGCCTCAGTCTCCAGAGTATCTAGGACTACAGGTACCTGCCACCTCGCCTGGCTAATTTTTTGTATTTTTAGTAGAGACAGGGTTTCACCGTGTTAGCCAGGATGGTCTCCACCTCCTGACTTCGTGATCCACCCACCTCGGCCTCCCTAAGTGCAGGGATTACAGGTGTGAGCCACCGTGCCCAGCCAGAAATGTCTTCTTTAGGTTAGACAATAGTTGTGTTTTTTTTTTTTTTTTTTTAAAGACAGAATCTCACTCTGTCACCCAGGCTGGAATGCGGTGGTTCAATCTGAGCTCATAGCAACCTCCGCCCCCTGGTTTCAAGCGATTCTCCTGCCTCAGCCTCCCAAGTAGCTGCGACTACAGGCATGAGCCACCACGCCCAGCTAATTTTTGTATTTTTAGTAGAGACAGAGTTTCACCATATTGGTCAGGCTGGTCTCGAATTCCTAACCTCAAGTTATCTGCCTGCCTCGACCTCCCAAAGGGCTGAGATCACAGGCATGAGCCACCACGCCTGGCCATAGCCAATAGCTTTTTAAGGGCTGGAACTGTCCTAGTCAATGTTGTATTGCCCTACATAATCGACACAGAAAGTATTTAGCAGAAATTCAGTCAATTGTTCTATGCCTTTAAGCCGAATTTAAAGCTATGAAATAGATCTCTGACAGCAGCGTTTACACTAGCCAAGTCGTGCAAACTATACATGTCGAGAAAAACAAAACCTACCCTAGTGAAAGGATATACCTGAAAGCCAGTTTGCCCATACATTTCTACTAAATTTCAAATGAATTTTTCAAATTGCAATATCACTCTTACCTGCAACAGAAGCAAAGGTAAATTTTCAGGGGTGTACTCCCTTCTTAGGCAGCTCTCTAGCTCCCTCTGCATGATGTCCGCCTGAACAACAAAGGACTTCGACTCGGCCACCTAAACCCAAATAACTAGTTTTAATATCCCAAATTAAAGAACTGTAAAATTTCAAATATCACAAAATCAGACTTTTCCAAGGAAATAATGGTCTGCTCTGATCCAGTGGTAAGCTGAATAGTGGCCTGTTCTCATAAATACTGTTAATAGCATCAGCTGTTTGTCTGCAAAAATAAACTGTTCCTGCTAAAAGTTACCAATCAGAAAAATCAAACTTACTGTTGTATTGAAATAGCCCACTCTCCTACTCACCTGTAAGGTTTTCTTCAGTGCCAGTTCCCTCTCTCTTCTAAAGTAATAAATATCCTTTGGCGTTTTAACAGAGCTGCAGAAAGATTTATGCAATATAAGTAGTAATTACAGAAGCTGTAATCGACCGGATTATAGATAGGCCATGATTAATCTGTAACTCTTCACAACTGCTCATTTCTGAATAAGTATATCATATTATACTGAATTATTGAGGGCATGCAAAGGCCACATCCTTTTGTTTTGGTTAGCATCTTTTTTGATTCTTCTTTGATTAGCATGTTTGCTAAACCTTTCCCTGGGCCAGTTTTCCTCTCTCCTGCCCATACAAACAGAGTATTTCGTTCTACCCTTGATTCACCTCACTATTTCCTACTGCAGAGTAAAGGGAGGGACACAATGGTGAGGATTTTTATTTCCCCAACTGTATTCCCTCCAGCAACCTTATCTCTGACAAATATTGTGCCTCTCAGATCCCACTTTCACCCTAACTGGCACATAAAACCAATATCGTGTAATTTAAAATAAAATGCTTCTATTTTTGTGTTCTTGATGAATTATCTGCTGGGGGGTGGGAGTGACTCTTAAATATCAAAGATGAAATACTTCAGGAATCATTTTAACCAAACTTAATGCTTCAGGAAAATTATTGATTCCTAGGAAAAACATTTATAGCAGAAGCGCCTGTTTAAGCAGCCTTGTGGATTCCTGTTTACAGCGTTATGAGGGAGCTGTCGTTTTTACCATGGACTCTGATACAAGGAGGCACAAGCTGTGGGGTCACCTGGTAAGGGGGTGGGACGCTGGGTTGGGAACAGCAGAGTGCTCCACATTTGGGATAAGATATATCCCAAGGTTTGGCAGCTTTGGAAATATCAGGAAACAGCAACCCTGATGCCAACATCACTTTCTCAAGATAGTATTTTGCAGACATTGGTAAGGGGCCAGAGCAGGTAGTCTAGAAAACAGGTGAGAGACCACCTAGAGATTATGAAGGAGGTGTAAGCAGTGACATTTAGGTTAATATTGTTCATATGGCCCTATGAGTTCCCAGATAAGTTTTAAGGGAAGATAAAAATACACTGTTAGTTTGTACACTTGCCAGCAATTTCCCCCACTACAGGCAGTGGTTCTGTGAAAAGAACCCCAGGCTGACAGTCAAGAAATCCATCAGCCAAGTGAGCCTAAGCAACCCATTTAGACACATTGTGTCAAATTTCCAGCCCTGAAGCTGGAGATAATGCCCCTCTTATCTCCTAATATCTTTGCTTTAATGGGGTGGGGGAAGAAAAAAGAGTTGAGCTCTGAAAGGGATTTGAGAATAAAAACAGTAATAAACCTAAGGTATAATTTCTGTGATTCTGAATCCTGGCTGCAGCGTTGTGGCAGTGAGGAACGAGTAACCAACCAGAAAAGGGATTAGCTATTACCAGGTAGGTAGAGAAACACAAGAAACTTTCCCCTGCCCTCTGGTCTTCTTATCTTTGGCATACTGGGAGATGAGGAGGGTCATGGGCTTAGCTACCCAGCTCTGTCTCATTCGGATCTTGTCTTTCCTCTCAGTTAACCTCAAAGTGCCTGTGAATGACCCAGAAGAAACTGGTGAACATAAGTAGTGTGTATATCAACCTGCAAAAAGAGATTTACTCCTATATTCATCAAGCATTGTTCATTCAACATACATTCATTCATTTATTCATTCAGCAAGAGTTTATGAAACACTTAACCATTGCAAAGTCTTGGGTTTGTGGAGTGAAACGAGGGAAAGGATGCAAAAAAAAAAAAAGGGAAAATGATTAAGACACACAGTTCTCCAGGCCTCAATAGATTTTTCAGTCTAGTGGAATGAGAATGTTAAAGTGATTATCAGGAGTGGATATTTCCATGTTCCTTGGACTCTAGAACCTAGCACAGCACCTGGAAAACAGAAGGTGCTCAAGAAGCATTTGTTAGACTAATAGATTCTTCCAGGTGCAGTGTTGGGTGGTTTGGGGGAGTAGACAAATAAGGCAATCCAGGATTTCCCATCACTCGATTCTAAGAGACATCAGAAAGCCTTTCTTATCCCGATGTACACTGGGGAGTCACTTGCCTGACATTCTGACATTTAAATCATAAGAATATCAACACTCCATCTTTGCATTGTGTTTTCTTGTTTTAAAAATACTTTAACATGCATTATCTCATTATCCTCATGACCTTATGTAGGTAGGCAAGGTACTAACCTCATTTTTCAAATAAAGAAACCAAAGTTGAGAGAAATTATGACTTGCATGGTTCCATGATCTTTCCATCTCATCACACAATCTGATTTGCTTCAGACACCTGATGGTTTTAAATACTAATTAAAAAACATATGAAATGCTGGTTCTTCAGAATTGTCTTTGGAATGAAGTACTAATTCACCTGCTTACTGCATCTTCTGACCTCTCCAAACCTCTCACCATCCATATTGTATTTTCTCAATGATTCAACTTAACAGGGTTCTTATACTGCTCCTTTTGATCAATTGCGGCAGTAACAGAAACAGAGGGATATGAAGGTCCTGGCCCCATGAGGCTTGTCATTAGGGCCTGACCTATGTCTCTTGTTTCTCTACAAGAACTTGATTGCTGTTGTTGGCAGCATTTACCTATAGAAGAGCTCCTAATGAAACAGGCTGGCTGGCTTCCTGTTGTGATCTGCTCTAGAGGAGAAGAACAAAAGCCCCTCTCGCTCTAGCTTACATAACTCTCAGCAAATCAGTAACAAAAGACCCAAGAAGTTATTAACAGCGAGTTCCTACTTTGGGGGGCTAGAGACTTCCACAAAGCCCCACATGTGCAGTTAGAACTAAAACTCAACCTGTAGTTACCCCTTCCTCATTTTTGTGCTAAGAATAATGCCTTGGGTGGAGATTTAAAATGCTACTGCTACATCTGATGTATGAAGAAGCATGTTAAGCCACTGCATGAGCACTAGAAACTGCACCCCAGTCCCCCCACCATATATGCCCTGATGTAACCCTTCTCTATCAAAAGATCCTATAAAACTAACCCACACACTACCCTTGGAGAGCAGCTCTTTCCTTTTCCTTTCTTGGTGCTGGCTCCCTTGTGCACAAGCTGAATAAACTTTCCTTTGTTGCTCTGTTTGGTGATCTCTCTTGATTTCTATCCTGGCAGAGAGCAAGAATCCACAGTGCTGGTAACACTCACAGAATATCGTTTTGCATAATGTATTACCAAATGCCTACCATTATTTCAGCTTTTAAATTTCTCACCAAAATCAAGGTCGAATTCAATTAAAATATTATTGGGTAAAATGAGATCTCCTTTCACTGAGTATGATTTGTATTACAGCTTCTGTAACTTTAAGACAATAGCATTAGTTAACATGTAAAAACACTTTTACATTTTCTTTGGTAAGACTTTTGCTTGGATCTGTCTTAACAAATCTAGAATATAGAAAAATCTTAGAGGCAGCAATCAGGTTAGAAATGGGTACCTGAAACTGCTATTATATACTATCTATCTGAACTGGAGATAATGCCAATTGTCCATGTAAAAAGAAGAAAGGGTGCTGATGGAGATTATGGAGTTAGAGTGGGAAGTAAAGCCCTGAAGATCACACCTTCTCACTGCCACTATTTACCTGTAAACTCGATTAGTTGTTCCCTGAAGAGCTCCCTGCTCTTCTATCTCAGACTTTAGTTCAGTCAGTTGCACAGCCAGTTTTTTCTCCAACAGCTGGACCCTTTCTGTGGAAGTGATCTTATAAATTTCATCCATGATTTGCATTTGCTGTTTTTCTGTATCCCTGAAAAAGAGGATCACAAAGCTTGATGCCCTCAGTGACCATTACCCAGCATGTGGAACTTTGTCTATCTTTGTCCAAGAAATCATGTGGACTCTGTAGAAATGCATGCATTTTGCTATTAGACTGTTGTCATTTGTGATTTAATTAACATCTAGTAAACAGTAGAGAAAAAGTCGATCAGAATCTCCATGGGTCATGCCTTTGATTAACCCAGTTCACCTTCAAAAACATCTCTGCTTCAGCTTTGGCTGTTGGGGTTTAATAAGCGAAAATGCACCTCCCCTTAACCCCTCACCTCTGCAGTCTTGATAAATGTTTGTGGGGATTACACACTAACTACTGTGAGTGGCAGTTATTGCTGACTTCTAATAAAAAATTGTACTTTTACATTTGAATGTGTTTTCTTAATTTTGACTGCCTACATTTAGCACACAGGTTTTACCATTAAATAACAGCTGATAAACTCCCACCCCACCTCACCTGGTTCACAGTCTGTCAAATTCAACATAATTGTTTGTTAAGTACTTAGTGTCAACATTCTCATTAACAATGTAGATTAACTGCATGACTCAGAAGTCCTGGGACCCATAAATTGCAGGGGATTCAACAGATGACATATTTCCTTGTGTTACTGCTGCCCTCACCTGTCCTGGACAAGTAGGAGTTAAGTCTCACTTAGGCCACATTAGAGAGATTTATAATACTTAAACCTTCTTTTTTTCCTTTGATATTTCTAGGTTCTCATCTTTCCTTTCGAGATATTTCATTTTCTCAAGTTAATATGCTGTCATTTCAACAAATAATTAAGCTGTAGAGATGTTTTGTCTAGAGGCTTCCTTTGGGAGCCTATTTATTCTTTTTCTAAATATATTAAAAGTAGAAATGAGCATCCATGTTCAGTCCAGGTTGTGAACCTGCCTAGTAATAAATCTGTCATATCTGGCATGCCATTGGAGCTCAATAAAATGCACTGTTACTGTTCTTAGCAAAAGTAAAATGTTGTTATAGAAAATATTTGCCATTTGGCAGTGTCCTTTCAAGTTGGACGAACAGTTAAACAACTGCCTTAACAGCTGCATTCCAATCGGCAGCCAACAGTGGGAGCAACATAGACTGGCTGATTATTTTCCCACCAGGACAGACTTTCTGCCTTCGTTACTTGATTAGTTTCAACACTTCACAGCTCAGAAATGAGAACATTTAATCCTGTACTGTTTAGCTTGCAACACAGTCAAGTACAGTATTCAGAAAATTAACATAAAGGGGTCAGTCTTTGACAACAGTCCATGAAATGAATCCAACCCAGAGAAATACATGCCTGCTGAGCACTCATGTCTAGGTTTAAAGAGACAACTGTTTACGTGGAGTGGTATGGGAGGTGTGCTTCATTTATTGAGAACCTACCATGTGTCAGGCAAGCACTGGGGCCTCATTTAGTCTTAGAAAAGAGATTGCGAGGAAAGAGAATTTCTTCAATCATGTTTTTAAAAATAAGTACATTTAATTATTTGTAATTCATAATTACATATCATACATAATTTTATGCATTTAAAAGTGGTTAAAATTTAAGACAAAAATAGTAAGATCAGCTTGAGCAAGGTTTGGGGGTGTTCAATATGTGGTTACAGCAGGCTTGGATGGGGATAAAGCAGGCATGTTTAGAAGAGAAATACTGAGTAACTATTTTAAGTTTCAAGGCGATTAGTAAAAGAATAGAAATGCATCCTAGATGAGTTCATGTCCTTTGTAGGAACATGGATGAAGCTGGAAACCATCATTCTGAGCAAACTATGGCAAGGATAGAAAACCAAACACCGCATGTTCTCACTCATAGGTGGGAAGTGAACAATGAGATCACTTGGACACAGGGTGGGGAACATCACACACTGGGGCCTGTCGTAGGGTGTGGGGAGAGGGGAGGGATAGCATTAGGAAATACACCTAATGTAAATGACAAGTTCATGGGGGCAGCACACCAACATGGCACATATATACATATGTAACAAACCTGTATGTTGTGCACATGTACGCTAGAACTTAAAGTATAATAAAAAAAGGAAAAAATAAAAATAAAAAAATAAAAAAATATCTGTACCTATAAAAAAAAGAAAGAAAGAAAGAAAGAAAGAAAGAAAGAAAGAAAGAAAGAAAGAAAGAGAAAGAAAGAAAGGAATGCATCCTAGAGCTTCCCAAAGAAGTGGGAGTAAGGGGTGAGATAGGACTTTTAAATCCAATAAACAGTGGTCCCCAACCTTTTTGGCAACAGGGATTGGTTTAGTGGAAGACAATTTTTCCACTGATGGGAAGCAGCGGGTGGCCGGGAGGAGGGATGGTTTCAGGATGAAACTGTTCCACCTCAGATCATCAAGCATTAGTTAGATTCTCACAAGGAGCATGCAACCTAGATCCCTCACATGCACAGTTCACAATAGGGTTCAAGCTCCTATGAGAATCTAAATGCTGCTACTGATCTGATCGCAGGAAGTTCAGATGGTAATGCTTGCTTGCCTGTGCTCACCTCCTGCTGTGTGGCCCAGTTCCTAACAGGCCACTGATCAGTACAGGTCCATGGCCTGAGGGTTGGGGACCCCCGCAATAGAAGGTAAGAAAAGTAGGGGAGGGGAAACAAAACGAAGTATGGCAGAATTAAGTTCAAATGTAACAGTAATTATAATAAATGTAAATGGTTAAGCTCATCAAAATACATAAATCAGCACAGCTTCAAGTGTTTTAAAGTCTCCCAAAACTTGACAATGTGATACGTACCAAAATAAAACAATTATTTTTATTCTAGCAAATGCCAGAACTTAAACTGATAAGCAAACTGGTCCCATATCACTGTGGGCCAATCCAATTCTCTTTATTGATCTGCACAGATAGACACTCTGTAACCTTCTTGGGTAAACATTTTTGATGCGTAGTCATCTTGATCATCAAATGCTTTCAAATCACCTACGCTTTCAAATGAAATGCATTACATGCCAGCTTCTGCATTAATAGGGGTGTGGCTAAGCAAAAAGACACCATCACCAGTGGCTAAAAGAACAAACTCACGCCTATAATCCCAGCACTTTGGGAGGCTGAGGCGGGTGGATCACTTGAGGCCAGGAGTTTGAGATCAGTCTGGCCAACATGGCGAAACCCCACCTCTACTAAAAATACAAAAACTAGCCGGACGTGGTAGCATATGCCTGCGATCCCAGCAACTCAGGAGGCTGAGGCAGAATGGCTTGAACCCAGGAGGCTGAGGTTGCAGTGAGTACCACTGTACTCCAGCCTGTGTGACACAATGAGGCTCTGTCTCCAATCAATCAATCAATCAATCAATCAATCAAAGAAAAAAGATCTTTTAAGTTTCTCTAACCTAACGGTGCTAATGTAAATGGTCCAGGATTGTAGAGCAGCCCCACTACTAAATGGGCACTCAATGGCCCAGGTTCCTTCTAAGTCTGCTTCATCATCCCCTAGGCACTGTTCAGATAAACACATTAGTGTTTTCCCTTCATTGTGTCTATAGAACATGGGGGACATGAGATAAATATATTTGATGGTCTGAGTTGAATAACCTGCTTCTACTTCTAGTTTGCTGAGAGGTTTATTTTAATTTTTTCTTGAAAGGGTGAATTATGTCAAATGCTTTTTCTGCATCTATTAATCATGTGATCTCCCTCATATATTTGTTAATGTGGTTAATTTCACAGATTTTCAAAAGTTAATCCAAAATTGTGTTTTTAGAATGAACTTCATTTGGTCATAATTTGTTATTTTTTTATAGAAAAGTTTATTCAATTTTCTGCTATGTTGTTTATAATGTTTGTATTTATGTTCATGAGAGACATTGGCCTGTCATTTTTCTTACAATGTTTTTGTCAGATTTTGGTATCAAGATTATGCTGGCTTCACAAGACATGTTGTGAAGTGCTCTCTATTTTCTGAAGAACGTTTATAATTGCGATATTTTTCCTTAAATGTTTGGAATAAGTCATCTCTGAAATATAGTAAACTGAAGTTTTCTGTATGGGAGGACTTCAATTACAGATTCAATTTTTTAAACAGCTATATAACTATTCAATTTTTTATTTATTTTTGTGTTCATTTTATTAAGACTTTTAAAAGAGCAGTTTGATATATAAGTACATTTCATCTAAGTAGACGAATTTTGGGGGGAGTGAGGTTTTTCATAATATCCTCATACTTTTTTTTTTTGAGACGGAGTCTTGCTCTGCCGCCCAGGCTGGAGTGCAGTGGCCGGATCTCAGCTCACTGCAAGCTCCGCCTCCCGGGTTCACGCCATTCTCCTGCCTCAGCCTCCCGAGTAGCTGGGACTACAGGCGCCCGCCACCTCGCCCGGCTAGTTTTCTGTATTTTTTAGTAGAGACGGGGTTTCACCGTGTTAGCCAGGATGGTCTCGATCTCCTGACCTCGTGATCCGCCCGTCTCGGCCTCCCAAAGTGCTGGGATTACAGGCTTGAGCCACCGCGCCCGGCTATCCTCATACTTTTTAACAGCTTTGTTGAGATATAATTAACACACCATCTGATTAACCCACATGAAATGCACAATCAATGCTTTTTATTTAGTATATTCATAGAGTTGTGCAATCATGACCATAATCAATTTTAGAACATTTCATTACACTAAAAAGAAACCCTTTTGCCATTACCTGCCACTCCTCATTTTTCTCTAAGCTACCTCTTCTCCCTAACAATAGGCAACCACTACTTGACTTTGTCTCTGCAGATTTATATGAACATTTCATATAAACGGAACCACACAATATGCAGTCCTTTGTGACTGGCTTCTTTCACTTAGCATGTTTTCAAACCTCATCCTTGTTGTAGCATGTATCAGCACTTCATTCATTTTCAATGACTGAGTGATATTTCATTGAAAAACTATACTACATTTTATTTGTTCATCAACTGATGGACATCTGGGTTGTTTCAATTTGGGGGCAATTATAAATAACACTGCTATGAACATTCATATACAAGGTTTTGTGTACATCTGTTTTCATTTCCCTTGGGTATATGTGTAGGAGTGGAATTACAGGGTAAATGTGTTTGACCTTTGAGAAACTGCCAGGCTGTTTTCCAAAGTGGTTGTACCATTTTATATTCCAATCAGCCACATATGAGAGAATTCCAATTTCTCCACAGCTTTGCTAACACCTGTTACTATCTGTCTTTTTAATTTAAGCCATACTAGTTAGTGTGAAGTGGTATCTCATTGCGGTTTTAATTTGCATTTCCCTGTGGCTAATGATGTCAATCAAATTTTCACATGCTTATTGACCATTTGTATGTCTTCTTTGGAGAAATGTCCATTCAGATTCTTTGCCCATTTTTAATTGGATTATTTGTATTTTATTGATGAAGTTTTAAGAGTTCTTTATATATTCTAGATACATGTCCCTTATCAGATATATGATTTGCAAATATTTTCTTCCATTCTGTGGGTCATCCTTTCACTTTCTTGATGTTG